TAGAGGTATTACCCTTATTAATATCTTGGGGAAAATTTATTCTCAATCTTGTTAAATCGACTCACAAAATGGTCGAGAAAATACGAAAAGATTAACACTTACCAGTTTGGCTTTCAAAAGGGCAAGTCAACAGTAGACTGTATTTTTATTCTACATTCGTTAATTGCAAAAGTACTAAGTGAGCGTCAAAAGCTCTTTTGTATATTTATAGATTTTGAGAAATGTTATGATAAAATAGATAGGGTATTACTTTTAAACAAAACTCTTACAACAAACATTAGCTCCAGATTTGTTAGAACTATCAGATCTATGTATGAAACAGTAAAGTTTTGTGTGCGTCACAAGACAACGTCCCACTTTTTCGAATCGGGGGTAGGATTGAAGCAGGGGGACCCGAGTTCCACTTTGCTATTTTTATTTTTTCGTGAATGATCTAAAAGAAAACATAAACTCAAATTTAGACGGAGTAATTAGTGTTAATGAAATTCCCAGTTTTTCCTTATCATGTTTGCCGACGATACAGCACTTTTTTTTGCCACAAACCCGATATCTTTGCAACTTATGCTAAATGACTTAGAAACATATTGTAATAGATGGGCGTTGAAAAATAAATGCAAATAAAACGAAAGCGATGATTTTCGAAACAGGGAATAGGGGCTCAACGTACGATTTTTATTTAAATAGTATTAAGCTGGAACTTGTAACATCATTTAAATATCTAGGGGTATATTTTTTAAGAACAATAACTGGAAACGAACTCAGAAAAGACTCGCGCAACACGCGTCTTTTTCACTGCACAATCTTTTTATTGTATGCAATCAATTAGAACTGCCAGTGTCCCAAAAATGTAATCTTTTTGATAGTCTTGGGTAAGTTCTATCTTGAATTATAGCGCGGAGGTTTGGGGATATCATGAAGGTAAAGATATTGAAATGATTCATACCAAGTTTTGTAGAAAAGTCTTAGGGGTAAAAATATCAACTAACAGGGAATGTTTATATGGGGAGCTAGGACGATACCCGATGTTTGTGCATAGAAAATTTATAATGATAAAATTCTGGATAAAAATTTTAAACCTACCAACAAATAGTGCTGTTTTTAGTGTATATAATATGTTACGGTCAGATGCAGATAATCGAAAAAAAAATTTATAATGGTTCTAACTGGGCATGTTATGTTAAAAACAAATACTTGATTTGAAATAGGAATGACAAATGTATGGTTAAGTCAAGCAAATATAAGTGTAAATTTTCAGTCCATTAAAACAGCGTATCCTTGATATATACAAACAAGAATGGTATACAAGTATAAATAATTCAAGTCGACTTACATCATACGCGCTATTTAAGAAAGACTTTGTTTTTGAAAATTATTTAAACTTTATAACCGATAAACGTTTCAGAATCGCATTATGTGATAGGTTTAGAACTTCATCTCATAGTCTACATATCGAAATTGGAAGGTATAACAACATAGATAGAATAAATAGATTATGTAATAATTGTACCATGCATAAATTAGAAGATGAATACCATTTTTTATTAGTTTTGCCCTAAATACAGACATCTAAGACATAAATACTTTAAAAGATTTTATTGCCATTGGCCAAGTATTTTTAAATTTTGAAAAGGATTATGTCAGAGCAACCAAAAAAGTACAGTTAACAAAGTTGCCAAATATATATACTTTGCGAACAATTTAAGAAATTAAAAGATGGATGATATCGAGTATACTTCTCTGACTATTCTGTATGTTTTGTTTTTTGTTTAGCTTCATTTCAAGTTCACATCAGTATATGATTGTAAATATTGGCTATATGCACCTTTCAGGTGTTTAATGCTTAATAAATGTTGTTGTTGTTGTTGTTGTTGTTGTTAAAATGGTGATTGGCTAACAGTTGAATTAGAAAATGTTTAGGATGAAAAACAAATCTGCCTAAAATATAAGAATACTGTCCCACTCTTATATTAATTTAATGTTATAGGTAAATTTCAATGGATTTTTACAGAAACTTCCGTGGACTATGTGATTAATTTATTGTTCATGCGCAATAGATTACAAAATGGAAAGGAATTATGGCAAAATTTATACATTTCCGACTTTCATCTGTCCACTTTATATATACCCTTGGATGGGCATAACGTCACTTTAATTGTTTGCTTGTCCGAGAGCTTGTCTCGCGGAATTTGCTGTAAAAGCATAATAGTTTCTGATTTATTACCGCAAAATATTGTTCTATTTACAAATTCAACAACCTACTTGTATTATCAATTATTTGTGAGATAGATAGTTATTTATTAGTTGTTTCCTGAGTAATAACCGCAATTGTTTCTTTCTTGAAAATAAGGGCATCCGACACCATAAACAATGACTTTTCGAAGAGAAAATGTGTTACGGTACATGCAGCTATAAGTACTCCCAATGATTTCGAAAATATTTCAAGTAATTTGTAAGTAAATACTGGAGAGTAGCTGAAAGTTTATCAATTGTGAAATGACTTTTATTTTTGTTATTTTGAACCATTTTAGGGTCTAGTAGATTATTGGTCGTGAATGTCTCAATTATGGGAAGTTTAACGTTTAATATAAAAAATTTATTGCTAATTCCATCCATAAAATCTCTTACCATATTATAATTGTTATTTCTGTAATAATTTATATAATAAACGGAAATCTTAAAGAAATAGAAAGATATATCTAGTGAAATATTTCTACAAAATTTATAAAAGTTTCCATAATCATACTGTCGGTTCTTGGAGAATTTATAAAAAAGAATGTTTTTATTAATCTACATTATGAATACTGTACATTAACCGGAATGAAATGTTCCGGAACAGAATATTATGCCGCTATTTAAAAAATGGATTTAACCGTTAAGCAATTCATTCGAATATGCGCTATAAAAAAGGGACAGTAAAATGTTTAATACATTCATAAATATCTATGATATTGTGATCACTAATACTGTTGAGGTACAAAATGAACGAAAACTCATTAAATTAACCAAAAATCAATTAAAAACAAAACTCATTATAGTTACCTTTGATAATTGTTTGTTAAGTCGCATTTTTGTTTTCAAAATTGTAATTAATGAATTGACACATCAATAACAAAAGCAATTCATAAAATCTATGAATGCAATGTGCATAAAATCTTTGAGCGTTAAGCGATTGTTTTAATAAATTGAATAGATTGTTTAAATAAATTGAATAGATTGTCTTTATTATATTATATGATACTTCAATAGATGATTGCATGATCGTAGATAAAGCAGTTTGAATGAAAAAAATCTATTGTTTAAATAGGAATATTTTAAAGCGTTTGTGCAGCTGTTGAATCGGTATAAACTGACACCATGACCTCGTCTCATACTGGGGAAACATAATATGGGGCGTCGAAACCACAGGGACTCGGCAGTGTTGGGATAGTGTAAAAAGTAATTCTAGAAAGAAAAAAATATACTGCATAAAATAAATATATAGACAAGGGGTTGAACTCGCCAAATATAAAGCTATATATCAAATTGCAGCTAAAAGGCATAACTAGACGTTGACAATAACATAATTGTCCCAACTTAAACCGTTTTTGAACACAAACCGATATTTGGGATGGAGTATAGTATTTTTGCTAGTGCAACCAGTCCTCACTTTATTTTGTACATGTAAACCATGTCATTGTACCAACCCGCAATAAATCGACAAGTTAAAGTAAAACAATTTTTAGTTATATCTTAGTGCAAGTATGGCAACATTCTCATGACAGTTAAAATTGAAATTGTGTTCTTCCCCCAAAATAGATACAAGGATGTCACGATTATATCCTTGTGTGATTGTCATCTTAATGTTTGCCCTTCTGATAATGATTTTGCAAAATGTGGGTTATCAAACGTTACATATTTTTAAGTACGTCTGTTACAAACATTTCAAAATGACTGTGCCAAAAACAAATTAATTTGAAATGAAAAAGTCTATAATAGTGATTTTCTAAAACGAGTATCAACATTTACAAAACATTTAAAACTGAGTCGTAAGCACTGTAAATTAATTATCTTACAGGCTTATAAAATCGTTAAATTGCATGAAGATATTTAGATTTCTAATATATATTTTTCAAAATTGGCCGTGTACAGTTACCCACTGAAGAACACCCTTGTCAGCCTACGCACATTGCAAGTCGATGCAAATATTCTTTAGTATTCGAAAATAATGACTTACTTTTGTACTTGTCCTTTGTTTAAGTTTAAGAAATATCAATACATTGTACATATAATTTATGTATTTAAGTTTAAAACTTGACAGTTTGAATAAATAATTTACATAAATGATGATCACATTCGAAGTAGTGTCATAGAGATATTATACATGTCTTAGTCTGCATATTAAAAACCCTTTCAATTTATTAATATAATTCATGTCAGTCTTAGAAAGAATTAAAGACAGAGTAAAGTAGATATAGATATACATTTTGCCGTATTTTACAGTAGAAAGTTAGTGATATACACAATTATCAAGATCAGCCAAATCTTGTTTCCCCTACAAAAGACCACCCTGGCTGATAAAACAATTTTCGTTTCATCTCCTGAAGACTGTGCACTGAACACAAACAGCACTTTTTAAAATGGTTTCTTAGCAGTACAAGCAAGTCAAAGTTTTCTTCAGTACTTTTATTAATATATATATAATGTTTCAAGTATTTTACTCACAATAACTTACATTTTATGTTTATTATACGGCTATTTTCTCACGTATTTATATGAAATTAAAAACTGTATCAGAGGACTTCCACTTTTCGATCTCACTCATTATATACACAGTTCATACACAAAATATTCATTTAAAACAATATCTTGTTTATATCTTCTTTAATATAATTGTTTTGACTTTTTGTTGAAGGAAAGAGAAATAATCATAAAAGTTTGATACGGTCGCTTTAACAAAAGAACCACGTTTATATCTTATCTTTTCACCTGAGGTGATACTATATACACAGGACATCAGGACAAAGATAATTCAGTTGTCATCCACCATGCCCCGCATTAGTTGTAAGTATTTTTCTTTTCACATATTTTATTTTTAAATGGCTAATTTTATGATCGTACTTCTTTCGTTCTTACCTTCGCACAAATAATTCGTGTCAACTGTGATTAACTACAATACATTTTAAGTATGTCCAATGTGAAAGATACTTAAAGAAGGGTAATCTGATGTGGTATTTTTTATCTTTCCTTATACCATCATGTCGTGTCATGACAGAGTCAAAGAAAAATTACGAAAATGTTTGAAAAATTGAAATCCAGTGATTGAAAAGTACCAAAAATGTATGTAGCATGTCTCGACAATTTAATTTTATTTTCTTTCCAACATGACGTCATATTTGTCCGAAACTTTTTTTTAACTTTTTATTAATTTTACGGATATAAAAGTTAGAGTTATGAACAACAATATTTTTAACCATACAGAAGCGAGCAGATGACCATATACATTTTTAAAAAGAGATATGTGTTTGTATTAAAAATGTGTTCATTTTAATTCTACCTACTTTACAAGATCTTTTAGCGTTTAAAATTTTCAGAAATATAATTGCAATTATTTTAAATTGCAGGGATAAAGTTGGTTGTTGCGATCTGTATCAGCACTTTGACTAGCACAGGTAAAATATATCGTTTATAATAGGAATTTCACTGTGAAGAAACGCAATGTAACACCGCAAAGCGTCCGTACCGCAAAACGTACGTATACGGACGTTTTGCGGCGCATATCGTCCACATTTTTCTGGGATTTAACTCAATACAGGATTGGAGCAATACCTGTAGACGCTTGCAGAAATCATGATCATAAAACAGACAAATATCGTTTTTTTCGCCGATTTTTACATTTTTCATTCAATATCTGACATCAATCGGTGTGAAAAGATGAATTAGACGTTTTAAAGTTCATTCCGTTGGGTGAAAAAGCAAGATTTTAGCATTTTATAGTTCAAGCGCCTTGTCGCGTGGTGCTCCAATCCTTTTTTTAGTCACACTCATTTTTCTGACGTACATTTTGCGGCAAAAGGCATGGTCCTGCCGCATAACGTCCATATTTTAAATTTTATATAATTTTCGTTAATTTTGACCAGTTATTGTCAGGTGTTATTGTGTGTGAATTTTACCTGAGTATGCGCCTGTCTGTCCGTCCAAATTTAGCATGTTATCACTCTAGCATCCACATACCCTAAGAAATATGGCCAGAGTTATTTGCCCTTGAATTACAATATCTGTTATATTTCACATTGTTACCACTCCAACGCTTTCATTTTTCTTCCCAATTTTGACGATTTTCAACAGAATATCTATGACCATAAAATCTCAACAAAGTTAGATTATAGGTTTAAATCTAACAAAAAAAAAACAACAAAAAAAAAAAACGCGCTATATTCACCTGTTAGTTCTTTCGTTACTTCTCCATTCTTAATTTTTTTATAAAAATATGTATAACAATAAGGTCCGATTCAAGTTCATTTATGAGCTAAGAGTGATTCCCATCCCCACTCCGCCCCCCACCACACCCCCCCCCGCGACAATAAGCTCTCTTGCTCAAATTATGACTAGGCGAGTTAAAGAGCCTATTCCATGACAATAATAGCTTCTCACGTTAATATGATCGCTGTCAAAAGTCCCATCCTATTCCTTCGTAAAAATGAACGGTAGAACCAAACTCCATAGTAACAGAACACAAAAAATCATCACCCACTTCTTGATGCAATTATATGAAAAAGCTTTTTGTCAAAGCAAACTTAATTTTTAATATTGATTGTCATTCACTAAGGTCCAATCCCTGTTCGTCCGCCTATAGGCCGTCCTTTTCTTATGTCATAGGATTTCATTTATTCCATATCATTTCTTTTTATTATTTCTGCGCTGCTGCTTGTTCCATGCCATAAAAAAATCTATTCGAAAAACATCTTTGGCTTAAAAATATTTCCCTTTTTTAAATACAAAAAAAACACAAATTATATAGGACACAAAAATATTTGCACTTTTATTGTTTAGTTCGTCATAATCTTACTGAAACAATATGAAATGACAGAACACAATAAAGTAACGTTTATAATGTAATATTTTTTAATACAGAAAATATGGACAAAAATGCGACGCAAAAGACGACTCCCCGAAAACGTACCAAGTACAATTGCACCCGTCCACATGTGTACATATGCGACCCAAAAACCCCACCGGACGTTTTGCGGTCGGAAAGTTTTGCGGGTGTTAAAAACGCAAACATAATCCCATTTGCTCAAATTAAAAACCCAAAAAAATTCCTTGTTGGGATTTTTTTGGGCAAAAGTTTTTTTAAATTAGTCGTATTGCAAGCTAAAAATTCAAAAGTTTTCATTTTTTTGTTGCACACGGGGAAATAAATATTTCTTTTCTCATTTTAAAACGTGTTTCTAAAAATAACATTTTTAAAAGACTAAATCTATTAATGCTGATTTTAAATTTGGGGGAGTTGATCCAATCGAAAAAGTTCTAAAAATTTTTGCAAAACTTAAAAACCCGTATACTTTTGTATTTTAAAAACTTTAGCCGGCAACCGTTACTTTGTAATTCATAAAAAATTATTTTTATATTCTGAACATTCAATGCCTACCTACACATACAAATGTTTTTGCACACAAAGTATTGTTAAGCAAGGCTTATACAAAACTGTGCAGTGCTTATGAAAAGCAAATCTAATAAAATAGTGTACAAATAAGAAACATTTTTACCAGTTCTTATTAAATGTTACAAATATTCCAGATTGTTTGGAATGTTACAGTTGTACAAACATTGAAGATGTTGACAATTGTAGAAACACAACACAATGCCAACTCGGCCAGGTTAAGTATTTTCTCCTATTTTAAGCAAAGGGGTTGTAACGGTCCCAAGATTCTATTTTAGGGACAGTTGTGACTAGGTCAAGACACACCAAAAAATGTGACAACCTTTATATATAGCCCTTATATACAGCCTAAGGGTTTATGTCTAGACCTAGTTTTGGTCACAACTGACTTTAATATAGAGTCCTGGCACCGTGACAACCCTTTTTGCTTTTAAATATCTACATGCCGCTTGTACTTTATTAAACTCGTGCTTATAACTAGTTTTCCACTTTTTTACGGTGTCCCGTAAGGGCCACCACGACACACCTCACTTGAAACAACGAAAAGACGAATTTCCGATGGTGATAAACCGATATAACAAAACCATGATGGTGAATAATTCGAAATAGCGGAACCGAGATTGTGATGGTGATTTAATTTCGTGTTTTCACCATCGTTCTTTCAACCTTAAATATCCTGTAACACAATTTTTTCATGGTTTTATTTTATAAATATGATTCTCAAATTAGGATTTGTCAATATTGTAAGCATTATTTATAAAGATATTACCCAATTTAACATTTCATGTAAATTAAGGGAGGTAATTAGAAATTTATTTTCTATAAACTCTAAGTCAAACTTTCCAATAAAAAAGGAATGCATGTAATTAATTGATTAAATATAATGTGCACAAATATTTGCAGTACACATTTTACAAATTCTTTGATGTTTAAAAATTGTTTTATTTGCATAATTATATACATATATAATTTTTTGCAAGTGTGGTATACACACAACAATATCAATCCCAAAACATACAGGATCTTTAAAGCCTCGTGGTTTCATTGTTTCGTTATTGCTAAATTGTGCTTTCGACTTTTTACCATCGTATTTTTGATTGTACACCATTGTGATCTCGTTCGTTTAACTTTTCACCTCTGTACCTTCGACTTTTCATCACCGAAAACTTGCCTTACTGTTTCGCATGCGCACATAGATCATTAATAACCATGTAGAATTAAAATATATACACCAAGGATACAATTACAAAGAAATAATAATGATCATGATATTATCATAAGGTTTGTACATTGCGCGTTGTCATTCAGTGCACATGCTTAACAGGAAGGCGAAACAACGATGGTGTAAACTTAAATGTACGATGCTGAAAGTACAAAACATCGGGGATGAAAAGTCTCAACCACGAGAGTACAATTATGAGAGGTCGAAATAATGAAACCACGATAGTGAAAGGTCAAAAGAACGAAAAAACGAAACGACAATGGTAAAACAGCGAAAGTACGATGGTAATTATAAATTATGTCAATTTTTCACTATCGTGGTTTCGTTATAATTTCGATTTTACCCTCCAACTTTCAACTTGTTATCTTCGTGACCATCGTAGTTTCGTTGTACCGACTGTTCTCCATCGTAGTGCGATGGACGTACTTTTTTAATACCAAAAATGATATCGTATGAGTATTGAAACTTGTTATATGTTAAAATGCAATGCTTCAATAAAATTATGTTATGTTCTCATCACAATGATATTAAACAGTGTAGCAATACCATGTGACCTGGACGTCATTTTTTGGCATCATTTCCAAGACAAATATTGCTCGATTCGAAAAGGAAAATAGCCGTAAGTATTTTATTTCTGCACCGATTTCTTTGGGATATGCACCATTCTTCGAAGAAAAATATAAGCTTGCCATTGAATAGTGTTTTTCCTTCAGTATATGAGCCGTTTTATCAAACACTTTGTATAACCTTAAAAGTTGCTTGTATACTAGCGGACTTCAGTTGCAAGCTATTTCGTTTTCTTGTATTATCTGGTCTACGCCATGATTTAAAAGTTGTAATTACATCCACCGGGAGTACGGAAGGCAAAATCCTAATAAAATATGTTTATTTTGCAATTATTTATGGCGTAAATCTGAACTTTTTCTGCAATTGACAATTATGGCACCAGTTCCAAGCCAAATATTTGGACTACAGTTTAAAGCAGTTTTCAGAATTGCTTACAAATGCGAAGAAACACGAATTCCGTTCTCTTTCTATAATATCGACTATTCTTATCATTGTATACACATCGGTTTTTTTTACGACGCATTACTCACCCCAAATGAGGGTAAAAATGACTCCGGCATCAAGAAGTCCGCGTAGGGATGACAATTTTATTTTATAAAACACAATATATCATTTCAAGTGATTAAAATCGTTTATTGCTTCCAAGGGATCACTGTTTACCAGAGTTTAATATTGCAATTAACAAAAAAGTGCAATTAATAGTTCGACTGTGTAACTATTTATTGAAATATTCAAAACAACTTTCACTTCCGGTTTTAAACTAACAATTGACGAAATACTATTATGTGTGTTGAACGACACTGGGTTAATAAAACCACTAAAGGATTGTCAGAAGGAGTGTTTGGTAAAAAGTTGTAAAGGCTATTTTGCCAACAGGGTATGGAAAAAGTTTTTCAACTGGCCCCATTTGCGTTTTGTTCTATCACTTTCAAGCCGCCATGTAAAAAGTAGTGCGTTCCCATCATGCTCAGAGTGGTTTCACACAGGTCAGTAAGACCGGTGTACACAATGCTATTCTTATAGAAAAGTGTTATTTGGGAAAGAAATTATGCCTTGCCATTGTAATAACGTAGGCAGCGTCGTTACGTAATTTTCTTTTAACGATGGCGTCAAATGGTAAAACAATGAAAACAATAAATGGGGGATGGACTCCATCACTAATGTTCTTAAACATACTGTTGCAAAAAATATATAGTTTGTTCCATTTGCTTATTTTAATTTTGCGTCATTTGTTTTTTCTCCTAGGAATGCCATAACAGAGTTATGTATGCCTGGTATCCCAACCTTTTGGCTTTTTAAGGACGTTTTCGGGAGTTTTCATATAGACATAAAGGCAAAATCAAAACTGTTCCATAGAGTTTCTTTAAACTTGTCACGTGGTTAGAATATGATAACAGAAACATTTTAAGCGGAAAAATGGGGTCCTCAATAATAAAATCGTGCACATAAAATGCCAAAGATTTAAAAAGATATTATTTAGTGAAATAATTTATATACGCCAATATGTATAACTTTAATATATATGCCACCAGTTCCAAGTTGAACAATGCAGACTACAGTTTAAAGCAGTTTTCAGAATTGGTTGCAAATGTGAAGCAACGTGCCTTTCGTTCTCTGTCTATAATTATGTTAACCAAGAAAAACATTTTATTATACGATGTAATGTATATTAAATAACGCATGGCATGTTGCTTCACATTTGCAACCAATTCTGAAAATTGCTTTAAACTGTAGTCTGAATTGTTCGACTTGGAGAACTGGTGGCATACATATTAAAGTTAAAGTATACATATTGGTGTATTTCAATTATTTCACTAAATAATATCTTTTTAAATCTTTGGCATTTTATGCGCGCGATTGTATTATTGTGAACCCCATTATCCGCTTAAAAGGTTTCTGTTATCGTATTCTAACCACGTGACAAGTTTAAAGAAACTCAGTTTTGATTTTGCCTATATATCAATATGAAAACTCCCAGAAAAGTCCTTAAAAGCCAAATGGTTGGAATACCAGGCATACATAACTATGTTAGGGCATTCCTTGGAAAACAAAAAGGAAATGACGCAAAATTAAAACAAGCAAATGGAACAAACTATATATTTTTTGCAACAGTATGTTTTAGAACATTAGTGAGAGAGTCCACCCCCATTTATTGTTTTCATTGTTTTACCATTTGACGCCATCGTTAAAAGAACATTACGTAACGACGCTGCCTACGTTATTACAATGACAAGGCATAATTTGTTTCCCAAATATCAGACTTTTCTATACGAATAGTCGTTATTATAGAAAGAGAACGGAATTCATGTTTCTTCGCATTTGTAAGCAATTCTGAAAACTGCTTTAAACTGTAGTCCAAATATTTGGCTTGGAACTGGTGCCATAATTGTCAATTGCAGAAAAAGTTCAGATTTACGCCATAAATAATTGCAAAATAAACATATTTTAGTAGGATTTTGCCTTCCGTACTCCCGGTGGATGTAATTACAACTTTTAAATCATGGCGTAGACCAGATAATACAAGAAAACGAAATAGCTTGCAACTGAAGTCCGCTCGTATACAAGCAACTTCCAAGGTTATACAAAGTGTTTGATAAAACGGCTCATATACTGAAGGAAAAACACTATTCAATGGCAAGCTTATATTTTTCTTCGAAGAATTGTGCATATCCCAAAGAAATCGGTGCAGAAATAAAATACTTACGGCTATTTTCCTTTTCGAATCGAGCAATATTTGTCTTGGAAATGATGCCAAAAATGACGTCCAGGTCACGTGGTATTGCTACACTGTTAAAAGGAAAAAGAGTGAACATCATATACTCATTTTAATAAATATGTGAAAATATCTAACACGTCTCTAGCGTATGCTAAACGAGTATTTGATAATTCAATAAATGTATTATAAAATACTGGTGTTGATCAGAAAAATATGACAACACGAAGCAATTTTATACCACACTTCGCCTGACACCTTTTTTAAGGACAAATTTTCTGAGAAATATATATAGATCGAAGACATAACCTCTGATCAGAGTTATACAATGATTTCTAGCAGACTGATAATGTTCATTTTATGTTACGTAAGAACGCCTTACTGAACTTAACTTTGAGTGACATAACTATTGTTTAACTTATTTATGACTCATGAGATCATTATCACGTTTATTTCTTTAATTATATTGTCTGTTTTCAAATTTTAACGATCTTTATAACAGTTTTTTATTATCTCTATTGTTATATATGTATTAGGCATGTTTCTTCAAACTTAAACATGTCGCACAAACAGCAATGTACACGCTCGGATGTAGAGACAATCAGGTATGTAAAACACACAAATTAAAAATATGTTTTTATATTATTTTTGGTAAAAGTGATGTATGTATGTATAAATAAATAATTATTGAATTCAAGCAACAAAATTGATCTTTTTTTCTAAAACTCAAAACGATATTTTGTTTTTTAAAGCTATTATTCAAGTTGTGCTTGTTGATAATGCTTTATATGCATTGTATTTTCACTTATGACCACCATAAACATTACTTACATCTTCTAAACAATAGAATAGGTTAGACTATGTTGACCTTCTATAGTAAAGCTTACTGTTGCAGTACTGCATGAACCCAGCAGTAGGAGGAAGTGCTGGCCTTGTTGGACGGGACATACATGCACGACAAATACATGATTGCTTTGAGTGTTGTAATACCGAAAATTGCAACAAACATCTTTGTGAGCATCCGAAACGTAAAGTAGTTTTTGTTTCTTTAAAATATTAAGCTACTGTTTCATTTTTCAATAATTTCATGAAACTTTTGACTGAAAAAAAAAAAAATTTAAAGGGCATTTTTCAAAAATTCTTTACTTTACATTTTTTAATTTGGTTTAAAAACAAGAAAGAAAAATCATTTGAAAGAAAATATACCCTCTTTCCCCAAAAAATTGGGGATGCAATTTTTACACATAAAAAAATTTTAAAATGTTTAAATGTTAAAGCTTCCCGGGTGAAATTTGATAAAAAAAGAAAGTTATAAAATGAAATAGTATTTTTAAAAAAATTTTTAATTTGGGTTTTCTTTATATTAAAAGATTATTTTAAAAAAGGAAATTTATTTTTTTTCAAAATTCTTGATCGATGACCCAAAAAGGCAGATTGTCCGTGTTAAAAGGCACATATTTAATATTTGCAATGACACTCATCACGCTAAAACGGAATGTCCAAAGTTTTGTGGTTTGTGCACTCTTGGTAAGAAAGGATTAAATTAATAAAAAAAAAATCTATTTTATTGCATTTTTGTTAATCATGTTTGTTACAGTTGCAGTGAAAATCATTTTGGCTTGAATTGTGACAAAGTAATTATCCTGTTAATGTTAACGTGATTCTTATATGAAACGGTTTGTTTCTCTTGCATTTCCTTCGGATATGCTGCAAGGAATCACTGGTATCGTATATGTAGAAAAACAAATTGTCATGAATGAAATCGCATTGATGTCTTAGTAACCATACCAGGGAGCTCATTCAATCTCCTTATATTACTAGACTATTCAAATTGAAATAAACTAAACAACTATAGTTGAAATTGAACTGTCTATGTTGTAATTGTTCTTGTCTTTTTATTAGTCAACATAACATGTTTTAAAAGGGAAATTTTTCAAGGAAAATCTTTTGTGGGAAAATTTTTTGTGACGACAAATTGTTCTTATGCAAATGATCGACTTAAAATCCGGCGTGATTTCTGAATAAACGGGATAGACAAATTACTTTGAGACTTAATTTCCGATTTCAATTGCAAACGTTTCGTCACTAAAAGATCGAATTCCTTGATAAAAAACATCTGGTAATTTCCTTATTAAACTAAGTAAGCGGACCAGATTTGGTTTTGCCGTCCATAAACAGAATTTTCTGAGAATTGTGGCCTGTAGTTAGTATTTGGGTGCTCTAGAATTTCTATTGACTATGTATGACATTGTTGGAAAATTTAATGACTTTTAAAATAAAGGTCATTTAGGTATCAAATTTTGTTTTAATAACTCAAATTAATGATATGGCATACATGGCTTTGGCAAACATGGGGTGGGGATGGTCATGACCGGCAGATTAGTGATCCCTTTACTTTACATAAAAAGAAAGCATACATTATGACAAATTTCACAAAAACCTTTTAATTTTATTTTTTTAATATTAAATTGTATAGTTTAGGTAGTAAAACACCTATAAGTAAATACACTAAGCTAATATTTGTTGAACAAATTCAGATATTATTTTTCTATAAGATTAAGTTTTGTCAATTTTTATTATCAGTCGATGGAAATTGGGCCACTTGGTCATCATGGTCACAATGTGACGTCACATGTGATAATGGCACCCAAGTAAGAAAACGAAGTTGTACGAACCCGGCACCAGCTGATGGAGGTCTTGACTGTGCTGGAGACAGTATGCAGAGTAAAGTATGTGTGAAACAACTTTGTCCAGGTAAGATTATCAATAGGCCACGTGAAAATAAATATCTTTGTTACATTGCATCGTTAATACTGATTTACTTTTATTTAATGTTTTTAGGAAACTTTTACGAATATTTAAACAATATTGTAAAGAATAAAGGAAAGAATCTACCTGTATTTTCTGCCCAGTGTGTATCACAGAGTTACGTTGTACGAGTAGTTGGCCTTGTGTAGTTTAAGCATTTGCGGTAATGTGATGCTCCCATGGATGCTTTGTCGTACTTGTTGTTCCCAATTTGGACCTCCTAATGCTTTTTAGTTCACCTATTTTTTTATTTTTAGGTCATATATAAAATTACTATTTTAACGCTTCATCTGTTCGTGTTCTATCACTGTTTATTAGTATTCACCTCGTGCATGATTGTTTCATAGACCTTTTACTTGGGATTCATACACAGCTATTCTTGAAACACGAACGTGTTTCATTTAAGATTCAGTGATTATGATCACCTCGGTATCCAAGCATTTACAGTTATTTATAACTTTCACCATTTGAATTTTCTTGTTCATACAGGGGGTTCTGATTAACCAACCCCGACTTATATCAATGGTCATCGTTACTTCAATACATGTACACTGTTATATGAACACTTTGGACATCCTTATCTGGTCCACTTTAAACCCCTTGCCCCTCTCCGCTTAGTCGCGCCAACACTTCGGATTCTTTCACGTGAGAAAGCTATCCAGCTAGCTTTTTGCACGTCGGTGGTTCAACTCAGGTACTCGTTTGTGTCTGAAATAATGTACGAAGGGACACCTGAGGTCTTCCTCCATCAATAAAGCTGGAAAGACGCAAATGACCTAGCTATACTGTGTTTGTGCGACGTTTGGCCCAATAAAAAAAAACATTAAAAAAGCATACTTACCCTACTGCATGATGTATATGTGCGTATTAATGATTAGAACTACATTCATATACAATAGTTCACAATGCAAATACCTTACAGTTCATGGAGGATGGAGTAAGTGGTCGCACTGGGAATCTTGCTCGGTAACTTGTGATATCGGAATTCAAAGACGACATAGAAATTGTTCAAATCCTTATCCAGCCAGATTTGGTGACCATTGTTTTGGTGAATCAATGGATGACAAGATATGCACGCCAGGACCCTGTGCCAGTATGTTTATATTTCTCTTGTTTTCCTTTTTTTAAAAAAGCAACATTTTATTCCGCAGTGATTTCCAATTATACGGAGGGAAATCTCAACATTTATTACATGCACGCACCGACATCTTACAAGGTTCTGAATGTTATATGCAAAATAACCAAACATGTGTTGATTGTCCAATATGTTTGATTTCCCCGTATTTTAGGGTATGTGAAAGATAGCGTGATAAAATATCTTATTCATGCAGATAAGGTATTAATGTAGTTAACCCGCTGAATAGTCTTCATGCTGTTTTAATTCAACTCCTTGAATAATTGGAATAATAAATCGAGGCAAATTTTACATAATCAGTGCTGATTTCTATTTACTAATGCGCATGTCTGAAAATATTGATGAGACACCGTTAAATTATGTACTACTACTGTATAAGCATGTATATAAAGATATCAAATGTTTTCAGATGGAGGCTGGTCAAATTGGGGTAGCTGGAGTACCTGCAGTGTGACGTGTGATGATGGGTTCAAGTCTCGGTCTAGAACTTGCACAAACCCACGCCCATCCGTCAAAGGGAAACTTTGTGATGGAAATACTATAGACGTTGCAGGGTGTAAAAACGAAAGCTGCCGTAAGTCAATATGACCATAGATATACAAAATACTATACCCCCCTCGCCGCTATGATTTTTTGACGATAACATTTACACTGTAATTAACCACTGTTATAATTCTATGTATGTCCTTCAGCCAGATTTAATCAGAAAAAGTATAATTTTCTATTTTTTTATTATTTCGAATGATTTCCTTTTTCTTTTTTTAGTTTCAAAGCTTCATTATTGTTATTTTAGAAATGTAACTTTGTATTAGTGTTTGTTTGTTTGCTGGTTTGCTGGTTGGTTGGTTGGTTGGTTGGTTGGTTGGTTGGTTGGTTGTGCTTTTGTATTTGTTAAACATTTTAATTAATCTTACCACAAACTCATAAAAAGGTTATGGATATTTTTAGCATATATTTGCAAAAGGCAAACATTTGACTCTGAATAAACAACGATACATGTATAATAATGTCCAATCTTATTGTAATGGCAATAAATTGTATACCTTATATAAATGACTTTCTTCTTAATATATATAAGTGAAGTTTCTAATAAAACGGGTAAGATTATTTCTACAAACAAAGAAACCGGAAGTGTGCTTTATTTCATAGCAATGCACACGACGTTTTTATTTCCTTCCTACCCACTATGTCTTTGCTTTAGGATGTTCTGTTTTGCTGGGATATTGCGTTTTATGAAGTTTATAGTTTTACAAGCTTGATAACCTGGTTTATTTGTTTGATCCAGCTAAGATCAGATATACAACAAAGAAAAATACTTGAGTATTTTTCACTTACTATTGCTGTTGTCTGAACATTTTGTATGTAAGTTAGTGGACTTCTTCACATTTGGATAAGTTGTATTCCATTTCCGGCCTATTGTTACATGTTTGAGTTTTCTTCTCATTAAAAGATTGTAAATGTAAAAATTGAAATATATATCCTGCCTTTGAGTGTTTTGTGGTATGATATAGCACGGATCTTAATGATAATATTACTGCACATTTCCATACCGTGCTTACACCACTGTTCATTCATATATTTTAGCGACTGTGCGAAAGTTGCCTCAGTGAAATGATAAATGTTTTACCATTACACACGTATACATTGTTATCTAAAATAAAATAATGTTAGCCATGTAAAATATCATTTCTAGATCAAATACGTCTACATTTGGTTTTCAATTCATAAACATTTAAAGGAACTCCATTGAGGTATAAACGCCTCAAAACATAAAATTATAATTTTACATAGATCAATTGTGACACTTAAAAAAGATAGATTTGCAGATTTGCAAAAGATCATTGGAATTAAACTGCCATTCTAAGCCTAGTTTGAGTGAAAAGCGTTCAACGCTTTTCAATTTTGGGTCATTTTTCACGATTAAAATTATCATTCTAGAAAAGGGAGTGAGCGAATGATCTGAACTTTTGCGTCTAATCAATTGGAACATTAATCTCGAAAAATTATTTCCTGTTCCCTAATGTTAAGAAACCCCCTTTAAGACTTTCGAGCGGTGAAACACCACTGATATGTTTATCTTGAAATAACAGTATATATGGAGAAAAATTGTAACCACAACTTTAGATAAGATCGATGTTTAGAAAGCTTTATTTACCAAAAATAAGATGACTTACATTCAGTTTGGGCGTTATATACATACATTTATACTGCAAACACTTATATGATAATAAAAATAATGATAATAATAATTTAATCAAAATGCAGTTTTATTCTTTCAACCAGATGTAAAAAATGTTCGTATTTTTATATCAATAGTAAAAGATATACATGTATAAGCACAATAATTAAAGATTCTGGGTGTGAATACGAGTAAGAGAAGAAATAACTTCAAAATAAACTAAAAGCTTAATTGAAGTATTACACAAGTAGTTATCATTCACTCCTAAATTGTGAACACGACTTTATTTGTTATTAATACAATACTTGCTCAGATTTGTTTTAGTTTTAAGAACACTTATAATTCTTTTAAACATTGTATCGAAAGTAAACAATAAATGATTTAACCAAGCCTAAGACACTTGCTTTCCACAGGAATACATACTCGTATAAATTGTCACAATATCTTACAAATTCTTTTATACCGTTAGTAAATAACATGTTACTTGTTCATAGAAATAGTACATTGTCAGATTTTGTAAACAGTTTTCAAAGATTCACCTTGATTGCAGATATTTATTGATGTTCAATTCTTTAAAATTTTGAAATTTAATTTCATCAGGCACACTAACAATCCAAACTAACAAAAAACTGATAAGGTATGCCATGATCATGTTCTAGTTGACTAGACTATATTTATATATAATGATGTTGATTAAAAGTCAAACTTTGCAAGAAACATAAATCAGCCAAAGGACTCATTCAAGATTTTATAACATTAATATTTATATTTGTGTTTGACAAAATTCTTCTAAATCTCATACAGAACGCCACCTGTATAATGTTGTCCGATATAATTATGTATTTAGTATTTTAATATAAGACGTCATTTCGATACTTTCAGGTTCTAAGTTGCATAAAATTGTGTTGTATTCAGTATAAATATCGTTTCATATAATTTCAGAAATTCCTCTAGTGACTTTTCAAAGTAAAGATATAAATGACTTAAATCTTCATGCCAATACTGTATTGGTGTTTCGCACAACGACGATGAATATAGGTAATGGTTATGACAACACGACCGGGATATTTACGGCACCAGTGTCTGGCTTGTATTCATTCTCTATACAACTAGGTCTTGTCGGAGGTGGCAGTAATGTGGTGAATTACAGTTTTGTTGCTGATGGAAAGGAAATGAAAAACGGACTTTTCGTAGACCATGATTATACTAAGACTTATAGTGCGAATACTGTAACATATTTAAGTAAAGGTGGTCGCTTTTGGATAAAGACTAAATCTCTTTCTGGAAGACTTTACCAAGCATCTAATGTGTGGAACACATTTTCAGGGTTCCTGTTACACACGTAGACATGAATGCAAATACAATATATTTTAAAAAATAGTAAAATCATCCGAAGGATAAGTTGGTTTTTTTTTTGCGTTTGTTTTCATGTTTAAGTAGGATATTGAAACAAAAAATCTTATGTATTCATGAATATAAAAAGCAACTTAGCAAGTAACATAAATGTTTGACACCCACGCCCTAGTTAAATGGGGAAAAATATATTTATAATGTATTGTATTTATTGTATCAGCTAACTATCAGTTAAAACTGTTAAAAAAGTTTTTATGTAAGATTTTGAGTGCTCATTCAAACTGGTTTTACAGCATTCGTAATAACATCATTGTGGTTCCTTCTTTTGAAGTAATTTATTTATGTACATTGTATATCATAAGTACAAGAGGTATAAGTGAACCATGACATTTCTAGCATTTCCGTTTCTAATGTTAACAAGCCCTACGTGTCAATCTTTTTGACAAATGTTTGATTACTTTGTATTTAGGACAAAAAAAAAAGAAAAAGAAAAACTTATCAAAATATGTTTCGCTTTAGTAATTTGTTTCATGAATTGATAAATAACAAAGAAAATGACGTTATAACAAAGGAAATTACTTTGTATTGTAACTCTCATTATATTAATACATAGGAAAATTATACTACAATATTCAGTTGATCTATATCACCCGAAAACTAAAAGATTCAAGTTTTAATGCATTGTGTCTTTTACATTTCAGTTATAATTCCGACACTTTTTGTTTTGGTGAAATAACTAGTATGTAGTTGGTGGTAGAAAAAAAGTATGTACATGAAAGTACAATGTACATTTAATAACGCGTTCAATATTTTAAATCTAAATTGGTCCCGGTCCCGGTGTATTCTTAATTTCTTCTTATTCTTAAAGAATCAATAATTCCATAGGTGTAGTTTAAGGTGTTCCGTTTGGACAAATGTGACTGTTTATCTCGTCTGTACCTGCACGATGACACGATGGCGAAAACGCGATGGTACAATGTTGAAAGTGCGATGACACGGTGGTGAAAACGCAATGGTACTATGTTGAAAGCGCGATGACACGACAAAGAAAACGCAACGGTACAATGTTGGAAGCGCGATGACTAGATGATGAAGACGCGACGGTACAATGTTGAAAGCGCGATGACACGACAAAGAAAACGCAACGGTAGAATGTTGGAAGCGCGATGACACGATGGTGAAAACGCGATGGTACTATGCTGAAGCGGTCATGGCACGATGGGACGATGGTGAAAAGGCAATGGTATGATGGTGGAAACGTGATGTAAATCGCGCACCATCGCGATTTCACCATCATACCATCGCAATTTCACCATCGTACCATCGTGTTTTCACCATAGTACCATCGCATTTTCACCATCGTACCATCGTTAATCGCGGGTACAGACATAATAAAAAGTCACGATTGTCCAAACGGAACACCGTCTTGATTTTTATTTGTTTGGGTCGTCAGACCAAACAAATAATGGTAGCGAAATTTCAGAAATTTTTGAAGCGGTTACTTCCCTTTATATGTAACACTTAGGCCGAAAAATTTAGGGGAGATCACAGCGTTTGACAGGCGGATTAATTTTCAAGCAAAATAATTCCCGAATGGTCGAAGATTTCTAATATTGTTTTATTCTTTATAGATATACATGCTTATAGTAAGCGCCATGATTATTTACACAAGTGTTAAACAACAGTTAGCGTCGTTACAAACCCTAACTAGAATAATATGGTTTTCTTCAGGCCATCAACATATAAATTCACCGTGGCCGAGGGGTTTGCGCGCTCTCTTAGAAAGCGAGAGGTCTAGAGTTCAAATACCTGTTAAGGCAACTCATTTTTTTTCAAATTGCTTAAGTCAAATAAACATTGGATCGAATATCAGTGTTGCAATTATTCTTATAGCCATTCTACTACAATTAAAACGCTGGAAAGCATTGGTGACTCTATACAAAAACAAATTGTTTTATAATCTCACAACCTTCACCTTTCTGACATTCTAAGACCCAAACAAATTCAGCACCTTCTGTGCTTTGATTTGTTATGTAGGCGTCACACTGTCCCGAAATTTGCACCAGATGGACACACAAAAATAAAATGTTAAAACTTAGATCTGATCTATACAACATCGCGCCATTCGTGAGGGCATCTTGTGCCATCAAATGGCCCCGGGCTAAATTATTCAGGCTCCGGCAACAACTTGGTGAGCGGTCGCAAAATATTTGGCATGCCAAAAATTGCCGGAAGACATTGCGAAAATTCATTTTCGTGATGAATTCGTATGCCAATTTTGCGCTTCGTAAGGCCGTCGTGAAGTCTCTCAAGAAGATGCCCGATTGTCTTAGGAGGGCAACACGATTACGTTAAGCCCCCGCAATACCGTCGTGTTACCATAGTATTTTGGTACAATGACATCGCGATCGGACCACGGTGTCGACGAAGCGTTGCTCAAGCGTTGCATATGTATCATGGTGGACATACAAAAGTCTAGTCTCAGACCATCTTCCTCATCTGTCAGTCCTGCACATATCTACAGAGTCTTCAAAAGCTTTTAATCTTTACAATTAATTAACAATTATTTTAGTTTATTTCCTAGAGAATGGCATAATTTAATGATGAGTCAACCAAGAAAAGAAGAAAGCAGCATTGCTACTTTTGATACACCTTGGTAAACATGATGAGCAACTCTTACAGGCCCCGATCAAATTTAAAACACAGTTTAAACGTAGTTGTGCTCACAATACTTTCAGCAACTTAAATTTGCGCGGTTGGTACCATCCGGAGGGACGCCTTGGTGACCACGTTTGAACGCATCGTACTCAAAATACGACGTCGTGCACTTGTCGCGTGACCTTCGCGTGTGTTGCGAGTTATGCATGCGTCACATTGTCCCGAAATTGACACCAGATGGGCATGCGAATATGGAATTTTTAATTTCGTGCGAAGATAGCCCCGAAATTGGTCGACAGTCTCTCAATATCCGAAACAAGTGCGATTCCTAGAGAAGGTCACGCGATCGCATCCGAGCCACCCACGATTCCTATCGAAGGTCACGCGATGGCATCCGATACACACGAAGTCACCTCAAAGACGCAATTTTGTACCAAGTAGTTTACCAGCAGGACACAGGATAGGTACACGACGTCGTATTTTGAGTAAGATACCTTCTTACGTGAATACGAAGGCGTCAAGTGACCTTCACCTTCGGTTGGTATACCACCCACGGCCAACTGCGGCAAATTTCAGTGGGAGCTAAAAACTACGTTTAAACTTTATTTTATTTTGGCTCTTCAAATTTCTATCAAAAACAATTCTATTCACACAAAAACATATGATAAAAGTGATGACTTTGATTATGGTATAGTTAACTATCCACATTCAGATGGAGACGTACCGCATGCAACTTCTGACGGGGTATATGTATCTCAGTAAATTAGATATAATAATTAGATTATAAATTACGTAAATAGTTTACAATTTTTTACAATCGTTACTTTGATTTAATCTCAAAATTCAGTAGTGATTTAAAAATGATTTTAATGGAGATGTTATTTACAGACTTCGCAAGATCTTTGGTCATTGTAATTTTTCTGTTGCCCTTACTGAAATAATCAAACGTTTAACCAAAAGAGGTTTTGACCCTACTTTTCTGGATATACTGCATGCTTAGTGTTCAACACTTTAACAGCTGGTCCTTACCTCTTTTGATTTTATCTGACGGACCAAGTGGGATACTCTATGATGGACAGTTCTTTATGCCCTTTGGGACTGAATTGCCTTCATGCTCATCTTCTGCCTTGCTTCGTCTGGCCCGCGTAGGTGATTTTTTTTTTGTTACTCTGTCTTCCTTTAAAATATTGAGTATTTTTGTTATGGTCATATGGGTATTCCTCTATATGTATCTACATGATCATTTCCGTGTTTTACTTATTTTACCTTTTGAAACCATAACAACTGTTATAAATTCATTTGGCGGGGACTCATTTTATTTACACCATCTCGTTTAAAGGCACATGGTGTGTTAAGAGTGAGGTTTGGTGCACCATTAACCGGTTTAAACTCCCCTGCAGTACTTATGCTGCTGACCGGTCCAAGGCGGCGCCCTTCTTTGTTCCTCAGATGTATGTCCTTGTTATTTCATACTGGTTTTGGGACACTTTTGTCGGTGTCCCTTGTTGTTTTCTCGATTACGGTAAGTATTTCCCTTTTGCCCCTAGTTTTATTTATAATAAATCAATCATTTATTTGTTTTCTTTGATTTCCTTGTCGTTTACCATTATTTCGTCTTATGTATCATTTAAGTGTCATGCCTATCCGTGCTCTACCTTGCGCCCTGTCCGATTTTCTGGGGGTCCTCTTGTGTTACTTGGTTCTTGTTGCTGGGTCGTGTGGGGGTTGCGTTCATTGAACGCTGCCTTTCCTTGTTGATCTTGTTTATAAAATTTGATAAAACTTTAGCATACCACCCAAAGTGGGCCTGTGGGCCTCATCATATTTTCTAAGGTGTCTTTAAAGTAGCAATGCTGCTGCCTTCTTTTTCTCGGTAGTCTCATCGTCAAAGCATGTAATTCTGCAGGAAATACACTGAACATAATTGTAATTTTGTTTTGATGTCTCTGTAGAGATGTGCAAGACTGACAGATGAGGAAGATGGTCTAGCCGTTTATATGTTCACCATGATAAACATGCAAAGCTTGAGACACTAAAAAGTGCCTTCTTCGTCCTCATCGTGGTCCCATCTCGATGACATCGTACCAAAATACGATGGTGACACGACGGTATTGCGGGGGCTTCACGTAGTCGTGTTCCCATTTCAAGACTATCGGGAATCTTCGTGTTTACTTCGTATTGTCTTCTTGAGGCTAAAAATTCCAGATTGCACCGATGATCACACGAAGAAAAGACAAACACTACACAATTTGACAAGATGGCTTCACGACGACCTTACGAAGGACAAAATTGACATACGAATTCAACACGAAAATGAACCTTCGCCATGTCTTCGGGCAATTTTTTGGCATGCCAAAGATTTTTGAACCGCTCATGAAGTTGCTGCCGGAGCTTGTAATATTCCGCCGAGGATCATACGATGGCAAAAGAAGCCCTCACGAATGGCACGATGTTATTACGATCAGATCCGAATTTGAACATTTCCTAATACGTGTGTCCATCTGATGCCAAATTCGGGACAGTGTGACGCCTGCATTAACAAGTTGGTAAAAATTTGCATCTTTAAACCGGCTTCGTGTGTGGATCGGATGCCATTGCGAGACCGTCTGTAGGAATTCTACTTTGTTCGGCTGATGATTGGTTGTCGACCAATGTCGGGGTCGTACGTCATATTCGCGCGAAATTCAAACTTCCATGTTCGTATAAACATCTGGTGTCAATTTTGGGAAAGTGTGACGTCCGCATTAAGTATATTTATTTTTGGCAATCAAATGTCATAAATGTCTTAGATTATCATGAACATTTATACAATGATTTTGTATTTAAAAAAAAACTTTTTTCATATCCTATTATGTTATAGATCTAGAAAAATTAAATAATTATTGGATGTCTTTTTAGGACAAATGAATTATTGTAAAACTATTTCTTAACATGACGAAGTGATGTGTGTTAGTACATAATGTGCGTCGTATTATAACAATAAATTCAGTAAATTAATAGCTGTTTGTCTTTATTCAAATTTCTAAAATATACTAGAACGAAGTAAGACAGATTGCGTGTTAGCTGTATACGTTGGATGAAAACGTTATACAGTTTACGGTAATCTGTATTCGTAAGTTTACAACGTATACAGCTTTCGTACATCAATTATTATTATTAATAGTATGTCATGATGTTTTCAGATTTGATAGAGATGTTACTATCAGAATATTTAACCCCTTGATTTTTAGGTCAATAGATCAAATGTCAATTAAGCGTACTTTGACCATAACAAAATACCCTATTTGGACGATTTTTGGTTGTCGTCGCTGTCGTTATCGTATGCGTCGTCGTAGTTGTTGTACTTCTGTCGCAATAGTTGTAGGCGTCGCCATGGTTCAAATTCGTAGACACCGTTGTTGTAGTAGTTCTTGTCGCACTTGTAATCGTTGAGGTCGTCGTATAAGCGTGGTCATAGCGTACTTTTGGACGTCAAAATCGCAAAAGTAGTAGTCCTAACTGTAGCTATATACATTGTTTATTTTGTTCGAAGTGACAAAGAGCTGTACTATGGTGGCTTATATGTGCTACGTCGTACGTTCGTCGCACCCGGGGCAATTGTACGTTGCAGAGAGAAAGTACGACAAAGTGGTGATTTTGTCGTATTATTGTGTTTTCGCCTTTGTGCCCCCCCCCCCCCGGAGCAAAAGTACGACAAAATGTTGACTGTCGTATTTCTGTGTTTTCGTCCGTTTTCTGCGGAGCAAAAAAATGACATGGCACAAATCAACCACCGTACAATGCTGTTGGTCCACATGAACATAAACGTTTATTATTTTTTACATTTATATTTCTCTCCAAATCCCTCCCGAGCCGTGCACGTTCCGGCGAACGCCCACGGCAGGTCAAGGTTCAAATAATTTCCAGTACCAGAGATCATTGGTTGACCTGCCAAGACTAACTCGGGTTGGTGGGGCTAACAAGCCGTTTTTGATGATGTCGTATAAAACGTGATGCCTTCTCCTCTACTCAACACCAACGAACGAAAAACAGGTCAATGAAGGTTATGCATGAAAAGTCGCCACTAATGTGGGCTCTACGATCAGACAAGCAAATGCGCAGTTAATCTGGCCCATATGGTTTATTCCAGTGGCCAGTATGAATAAACTTTTTTCTACAACAATAACAACAACAACGACAACAACATTTACTTTAGTTGTTAAACGTTGTCTTATGTGAAGGATAGTCATACAGTTTGGCTTTAGAGACATGCAATTTATGTCAAGAACACACAGCATATTTTAGAACGACGTTATCAATTCTATGTTTCGTTATTCACCAGAAATATATGAATTTTCTTCACTCTTTTTTAATTAAATTGCAGAAAATGGGACAAATAATGAAGATAATGATGGTTATGACTTGTAAAACTACAATTAACCGAATTTAAACCAATTGTTTGAAATAAATAACTATAAAGGCCGATCTTTAATAAAACTTGGAAGGCATAGATTTGTGTACATACATAGTTGTTCCCCATTTGCCACTATTCTCAGCAAGTCCCCCGATGATTCGATTATTGACAATGCCGTTAGAAAATCAGTTGCTCGCTGACTTTAAATAACGCAAATAAAGAACAAAAGCGATCATTGATCACATGTGTC